ATATATTATTTTAGGGGTAACTGTCCCTTTAATACTGTATCATTTGTGCATACACGCTACTTTCGTCTTAAGTTTGTGCTTGTGTGCAATATCCCTTTGACTTCACGTTATCAGGAGCGTCTGGGCTCCAATGTAACAGAGACTGAACGGGACTGAGAGTCTGGGGAGCGGAGGGGGCTGAGGCAGAGAAGATTGCTGGAAAGTATTCCCTTTGATAAGCCGGCCAAGAAGCCTTTGATTAAATGTGGTCCCAGCAGGAGCCCACACTAGGTCCTCTGTGGCACGACCATGTCCAATCACCAGCTATCAACAGCCCCGGGTAATTACAGCCATCTAGTCATTAGCCTGGGACCCACCTGGAATTCCACATAGCGAGGGGTGGGATGAGGCCAGCAGGGGTTTGGGTTTAGGTTGGGCCTTTAATCAAACACTTCCCTCCCCTTGACTGATATAACACACCCCATCCCAACTCACACAGAATCAGCCTTTGTTGCCGACATAGATTGTATTATTACTGCCCCAGTGTCTCTCAGCTCATGCTGGTGAGGAGCAGAGAGAGTGTGTGTGTGTATGTGTGTGTGATGGGAATAACACGGCAGGTTATGACAGCAGTACAACGGGAACTTACTCACTATCCTGCTCAGTCACACTGATTAGTTCTGCTCTGTCTGCACTGTCTAGCCTCTTTTTTTGCCATCAACCTCTGTGTTTGTCCGTCTGAACAAAAAACAAAGATTCCAGTGTCATACTAATGCACCATATATTTCATATGAACATCTGTTTAGATAAGGCAATATACACAATGTTATACAAGCAAGCTGGAGAGCAGAGAAGTGAAATCTGTCTGATGTTGTGGTTATGTGTGACTGAATGACCGTCCAGGCCTTCTTCTTTTCCCTCGTCTTCTTTTTCTCAGCGGCAGTTTGTCATCTCGCATGCTGAAAACTAGAGTGCACTGTATAGTCATAATAATGGGAGTGCTCTTCTCTCTCCTCGTGTCAGCCAATGTAGTGCAGTCTCATCCGCCGATGAGAAATGAAACAACACTTTACAATTTAAATAAATCAACTTTAAACAGCTTTTTTTTTCCTTTTTTTGTTCATGTTTTTTTTTACAGTTGCATTCAAAGTCCCAGTGACGCTTCCGTCCATTTATTCATCTAGTGTCCATCTCCCTGTCGTCTGGTAGTCCTCTGCCTGGACTTCTGTTTGGCCACACAGAGCCAAACTTATGCTTAGATGTCCACTTCTCAAAGTGCACTTATCAAGCTACTTCCCAAAGTCCAACCAAGTATTTGTATTTGGTAGATAAAAGAAAATTATGTGAGTATATGATGTTTTTTTTGTAATAATACTGGATACGTTTGAAGGCTCAGTTAATGTAAAAACGTGTCTTTAAAGCATCATGAAAGCAGCAAACCATTTTTAACCCAGAACCACACGCTAGGGAAAAGGCCGTCTGGACTGAATCTTCGACAAAAGCCCAATCCACCCGAATCCCAAAGTGTTCATCATCTGATCCCAGCGGTTCAGTCACAGGGCCATTCACAAACAGGGGCTAATGGGTGTTAATTCATATTGATGGGTACTGAATTTTAGTGCTTTCACAGAGACAGGTAGAAAAGCCATGCAATGATGAACCGAGGTGGGGGCAGGGGAGGGCGGAGACGCAGAGCACTTTCAGACAAACTTTCCCAGAATGCCATGTTCCACAGGATGTCCTGTTTAAAGGGGAGAGGGGTGGGGTTGCATTACAGGGGGCGGAGGGGGGCGTGTCCTCAGGTCTGGTCCAACCATTCGGCTCGTTTGGGCGCTTTGCACGTATGTATGTCCACAGCTTCCTCGCAGTCCTTACACTCCACGGCGCAGCACCATTTGAACTTGCACTCGCACTTGGTGATTTGCTTGACTCTCGTGGTGTCGTAGCCCCGTCCGCAGCACATGACCTCACAGCCATCTGTGCCGCGCGATGTCTTATTGCAGACCCGCCCAGCTGTGCCTAAGGAGCCTGCAGAGAGCACAAAAGAGTGGGTTAGAGATATACAATACACAGTCGGGCTTTCCTCCACCACCAGGACTCTCACATTTCTGGTGTTCAGTATAGACTTCTCTCTTGTTTTTTTTTTTTGTTTTTGTTTTTTTCTCTTTATTATACATTTATTTGTTTATTTTTGGTAATCTCTATGGAGCACAACAACCTCAAGGCCACAATACATCAGCTACACTGCCTGTTTCTCCTCTGTTTTTTTTGTTGTTGTTTTGTTTTGTTTGTATGTTTGTTTGTTTGCTTGTTTGTTTGTTTTCTCCTTCTTCTCCGCATGCACTGTCGCTGTATAACTCAGGACTTAAGCACCTGTCCCTCAATCCCCCCTGTCTGTCCCTTACTTTCCCCTTGACACACTGGTGTAACACGGCCCTCTCTTGCTCGTATTAGTTTTAGTTAAGTTTTTCCAATAAAGGCTGATAGGCTAGTCTCCAGGGAGGGTGGGTGACGGTCACAACCACGCACAGTATGGGTATAAAATACTTGACTGCAAGATTAACAGTGCATCAATCTTCATAAAAAGCTTACACCCTTTTGTGGCGCTAAGCTACGAAGACTAATGCCGACAGGTTTAAAAAAAAAAAAGAGAGATATACAATACAGTCTATGTGGTCATACAAAAACAATCCCTCTCAGTCATCATTCATGACCCGCTACAGGTGGGTGGCGGTGTATTTATCTGCAGACGCCCTTTTCTCTGCTTGTATTTTTTTAAATTTCCTCATTATTTTGTTATGTTTGGGATGTTCTTTGTCACAGCACTCAGGTGAGGTTGGGACTATATTAAAAGGTAGCTACAAGGTGCCGGGCTATAAGCAGCGTGCATCCAAGAGAAAGCTACTAAAGCTGTGGACACAGCGCCGAAAAAAATACAAATACAGCGAGGCTAGAGGCCAAAGGAAAGGGCTGAGGTTGGCTTTCACTTTTGCTGGTGATATTGTTTTCAAACAGTAGCTGACAGTTCCTGCATAGTATACCTTTAATAAAAGCTAGAGCTTACTTTAGTGAGTTTCTTGTGCTATGTGTTTCACTTCCAATTTTTCTGCTGACAACAACGACTTTTGGGTAGTTTTGATAGAGAGCCAAAATCCTTACCAGAGCTGAATTCTAAACTTGATTAATCAATTAGTTAATCAAATGAACATTAATCAGCACCTGATAATTGAAAAAGCAAAAAAGCTACATTTCCTAGTTTTAACTTCTCAGTCATGGAGAGTTGCTAAGAAAGTCTTTGGTTTTGGACTATTGGCTGGACACAACAAGAAGTTTGACTTTAAGAAATTGTGATTGACACATTTCACCATTTTTGAGATTATATAGACGGAACAATTTATTAATCCAGAAAATAATTGTCAGGTTAAAGGAATATTTCACCTACAAAATGATCATTTTCTCACCCTGTGTAATGTTGAATTCATGAAGAAAACTTATTTTCACATGTCTCCACGGTGAACGAATAATCCAAAAACAGAGAAGGATAGGGGGCCGTTTAACAACAGCAAAATAATATCAAAACATCTCTTTACAAACTCTCACACAATGTGTGCGGTATGTTCAGCACTCCCCAAACACATGCATTTTCCCTAAAACCTTAATATTTGAAACACTTCTGCATAAACAGTCTCACACATGTGCATTTGAACTCTGCGAACTCTGTGAAACGCACAAGCAGAGTTCAAACAGGTGCTTGCTCAGGCACACTACCTGTATGCAGAAGTGTTTTTAAATATTACTGTTAATGCCTAAATGTGTGTGTTTGGGAAGTACTGAGCATTTGGATGGATATGACAAGACTGAATAAGACTTGGGTTATATTGCACGAGTTACTGAGAGGTTGTAAATGAATGTTTTGATATAGTTTTTCTGCTGTTAAATGCAATTCTCTTTTTATTCCAATTTATCCAGAATTTTCTCTTTATTTTTGGATTCTTCGTTCACTATGGAGGCATGCAAGAAAAATTCATAAATTCAACATAACATGGGGTGAATAACTGATATCATGTTATCGTTTTGTGAATGAAGTATTCCTTCAAAAATTCTTAGTTGTAGCCCTAGTCTGAACATCGCATCGAGCTAGCTGCTCTTCCACAAGTCTCTGTGACTCAGTGCAACCTCTAATCGAGGGTTAATATTATTGTTTTTACTGAAAAGATTTTTTTTAAAGTGTGATCCTGACCAACTGGTCCAGCCATGGGAACCAGATTTCTCCATAGTCATTAATTCAAGGTCCATACAGTTTAATATTCAGCATCATAGTTGCCTTTGGCCATGTCGTTGAGCCAGTTTATTGTCTCTGTCAAGTAGCTGTCCGGTAGTCATTCACTTTACAGCTGCAAACAGCACTTCAGAATAAAAGCTCTGACCTGGAAATCACTGTACTCTAAAATAAGGTTTGTATTTTACACTTTTGGACCGTGACCCACCAGTTAGGAATTACTGTTTTATAGCACTTGCAGTTAAAATTTGATTTAATTTGAACAACAATTTGTCAGCATTACAAAGAAACAGTGACATTCATGCTGCATTCACAGTGTTGGCAGAATGTAAGAATTCCACCCGTTATTTCATTAGCTTAAATCCGCCACTGCTGCTGTGTAACATACTTGAAGAACTTCATTAAAGGCGATATATAAGCCATTCAGAGTTGATTGCTGAGCTTAAATTGAGATAATTAGCAGTGGCAGCTGCATTAACAGTGCTAACAATGGCAACACTGCCGACAGAGCTAACAGTGTGTACATGGGGGGTAATCAGAGGGTAGGTGTTACGCTTCTGTGACGACACCATTCCACCTACATTTGTCAGGATAGAGTTATTAGCGATAACCGCCATATGAGTGCAGTGCAGAGCAGCGGCACTTAGCCAGCCATTGGGATATATATACATGCACTCACATGCACACACGGCCAGCTCCAATACCACATTTAAAGATATGATGTGATGGCATAAACCAATGACAGCCTTACCCTTGTATAAAATGGTGTTCATTAAAACCAGCCAACACATAAATGCTAAATTGAACAACATATACAGCGAATCACAGTGTTTGTTTACCATTACTGCTGGGTAGAAAATCCCAGCATTGTGTAGCCTACATAAAATTAAACAACGATGACAGAAACATCAGATAGATTTGAGTATTGTGTATTGTATTGTGTAACTATAGATCTTCAAAAGTTACAATTACGTTTGCCGAATTCATATTTCTCTGCAATTTAAATAAATTGCCAGTTGTATACCCTGAAATCATTGAGATTGTTAGCGCAACTCGGTCTATAAATATAGATCCCCATGTCTCAGCATTTTTATTTTGAGTTGCATTCTCATCACTCTGATCATTACATCACGATTTGTCTAGACCAAATGGAGTTAACTTCAAGATATACTGTAAACGAGTTTATGTTCCGGGGCTGTATATTTTAGTAGCTTGCATTATTACAGATGTCACAGTTTTAGTGTTACTTTAACTCCCTATTTGGTTCACTGTTTGAAGTGCAATAGCAGAGTCACCGTTGTTGAGCGCATCTATGTCGCGTTATTACCTAACGCAGTGGCATATTGTCTGTGTCTTATGTGAATGTCATCCCCACAGAGATTAGTTTTGGTGTTTCGTGTGAGAAGCTCCCTGTTTGAACTGCTACCTATCACAACAAGCTGCCCGAAGAACAACAGACCCACACACACAACTATGCAGTGTTGGTAGAGTGGCCTATAGTTACACTGCCTTTCCCAAGCCACTGCTCCCTTTGAAGCCACTCTATGTGTGTGTGTGCGCGCGCATGTGTGTGTGTGCGCGCGCATGTGTGTGTGTGTGTGTGTGTGTGTGTGTGTGTGTGTGAGGGTTAAATGGACAGTGGAGCGTGACAGACAGACAGGCTCTCACACTCTGAGGCCCACTCTGCCCTCCAGCTACGCTTAGTTCAGACAGACAGAGAGGGAGAGACTGTGACAGACAGAAAGAAGTGTTGTTTTTTTTTTTTTTTTTTTTAAATTAGCTGCTTGTGTCCCTAGGCTGTGGATTCCACTGGGAAGGTGAGAAAGAGGGGGAGGATAGACGAAGGGATGAAGAGAGAGGCAGACAAAGGGAGTAAGGATGGGAGGAAGAACTGGACAGAGCTTCTTGGTGATGGAGCTGTTGATGTCAGATATCGGAAAAGTTTGTCCGACTGTTTCATCCATCAACTGGCCAATCGGAAACGGGCATAACTAATGAGGGGCATTATATTAAGGTTGATCAAGAAATCCTCTGACCACGGGGGTGTGTCTAAGTTTGTGTGTGTGTGTGTGTGTGTGTGTGTGTGTGTTGACAGAGACTGATAGAGGTCAGGTGGTCACAGAACGACCATGTCCTCAGGGTACAAGGATATTAGCTTCCACCGACATCACACGGGAGGCCTGCTGTGTTATCCGACTACCATTGAACACACACACACACACACACACACACTAGTCATGCATGAACATACACACACACAACATACACATAACACCACTAAAACATAACACAGTCGGGGCAATCCATCGACACCCATGAGAAACTGCCTCTCTGCATCTTTCAGTCCAGTCTACCTTCCTCTTCTTCTTCTCTTTCTCTGCTTCTGCCGTCTTACCTGCTGTTTTGTCTTGCAGGCAGTAATCCGGAGAGTTCTCAAAGTAGACCAGGTCGTTCTTGGTGGCCTTCCTGAAGGCTTTGTTAGCCACGGCGAAGCCTGTGCCATCCTGATTCATTGTCACCTCGATGGCCCCATTGTATTTCCTCCTCAGGTAGTCGCCGGTCTTTCTGAAGTCTGACATGGCCATCCAGCACGTCCGCAGCGTGCAAGAGCCGCTCACACCGTGGCATTTACACTCCAACTTCATGAACCGCTTCACTGCCTAAAAACATAGAGAGTAGTGTTCATTTTATTGTAGCCATCTTGAAATATAGTTTTACATGTTCTTAAAATGCAGAGCTAAAGGCAGAAGTGTTTCTTAAAGGGTGGGTGTAACCTAATTTCATAAAAACACATTTCTCACTTACTGTACCACTAGTGGTATTTAGTCTCATAAATCATTTTTGGTTTCATCTGCCAAGGTTTTGCGATGGATATCCGCTTCTGAGATTTCTGTCTCCACTCCAGTACAATGGAGCTGAGAGGATTTTTGTTTGAGGTGCTCAAAGTATTAGAAACTTAAAAATTAATTCTAGATAATCCCCAAATCTCTGCGAACAGTTTGAGTCTGAGCTATTTATCATCCCTATAAAAACTGTTGACAGTGAAGTCTCTGGATTTCCCAGAGATATGGGGACACTTTGTTGTTGTTGAATTCTCCAAGGCTACATTTAGACTGGAGGCAGAAGTGTCCCATTCATATTTTTTCGACTCACATTTGTTTTTATTTTATAACATAGATAGATAGATAGATAGATAGATAGATATACTTTATTTAATCCCCAGGGGGAAATTTAAAATGTCCTCAGCAGCAGGGGCAATAATGACAAAAAAGACACAAATCACAAGAACACAGCACACATACTGACACAAGAAAAGTCCTAAAAGTATGTAAGATCACAAGGTGTGAATAAAATGTATAAAAAGATGTATAAAAACAGTACAATAGATATCTTTGTTAAAATAAATAAAAAAAAAAAAGGATATAGTATGTAATATTTGGGGCATGCATCTCTACCCCAGCCTTGGTTTGTCTACAGTGTATCCACGACAACGCACAGCTCACTGTTAACAGGAAAGAAGCCATGTGTCGCAAACTGGTAAATCGCCAGTTGAGACTCATACTCCAAATGCACTGTATACATGTAAAAAGAATGCTATTAAAACCTGAATAATACCGGCATATCTGTCTTAATTGGAAAATTCAGAATATTTAAACAGAATATGTTGTTTACATGACCCCCATCAAATTCAGAATACTGTCATAATCTCAACAATAGTGAAATATTATTGTGCATGTTAACACAGTCACTGTGAACGGCACAAATCACATGGAATTTGACCCTTTAAATTCTGATTTGTGTCACTTAACATATGTGGTCCTAAATCAGATACAGGTCTGAATTTTTTGAGAAGTGACCTCAGTTTTATCAGGCATATGAAATTCTGACATCACTCGCCTGAACAGAATGCCTTGCCGCAAGAATCTTGTGGAGAGTTGCTGAAAGATGTAGTCAAAAGTAGCCCTTAACTTTCTGAAACTTTGGAGGCAATCTGTTCCAGTAAAGCCATTCTTGTCACAATCCCACCACTCCTGGCTCCAACTCCACCTCCACACACACCTCTGTACAGAAGTACCGTAGCAGCCATTTTTCCACAAAAAATATGTGTGCTGCGAGTGATGTTTTTGTCATTGTTCTTTTGGTTGTGTGGGTTAGTTCAGGACCAGTCCACACTGGAATCTGATACTGACCACACTTAAAAAATAATGTGAACAGCCAAACAAAGAAACAGAAAAAGGGGGGATCCGAGCAATAATTTTAAATTGAGCAATCGAGTGTTTTTCAACTCTGCAAGCACCACAAACCAAAATTCCTTTCACCTACATTGGGGTAGCAACATAAATCTCAGCCCCCATTTATACTTGTGATCTGTGTCTTAAAATTGTGTCTGTATAAGAAAAAATGTTTTATAATGCACAAGGGCTGTCACTTTTACAAAAGTCAAGTTCAGTCAAAGTTGAATGCAACCCACCCATCTTATCCTAGCTCCTAAAAGGGCATTGTATGAGCCCTCCCTTGCAGAAGCACAGGACACGGCCTGTGACCACATACTCTGACAATTTTGAAACTGAAGAGGATATTACAGATCAAATATTAAATCTTTTTCCACATTTGCACAGCAGTTTGAATTCTAAAAAGTGACAGCCCTAAAATGCACTTAGAATGCATTGCAATGAGCTTGAATCCCAGCAAATGTAAGTGCGGATTATACAGCCTTGTTAAGAAAAAATGCCTCCAACAAGTGATGATGATAGGACACCTAACGCGTCAGAGCTTTAGTCAGGTCCAAAAAATCAGCCCAACCCATGGAGTTTCTGTCAGACCCTGACCTGGGCCTGGACCACAGCATCAGTTTTAGGCCAGAGCCTGATTAAAAAACTATTGTAATAATTATATACATATATTTTAATATTAAAACATTTATTACAAGCTAAGATTGACGATTTTCCTCGCATCACTTCTCCTTCTTCTCTTCCTTATTTTAATAGTCTGTCATTTGTTCTGTGTCGTTCACACAACAGGTTCAGCAGAATAGACTGCGCCCCTCGGTACGTCTCCATTTTCAAGTGCGCACAGCGGTCCATGGCAATGTGGCGCACAAATAATGTTAACTGCTCTCCACTGCATGTTATGCACATCTCTCCCACTGCTGGAGAGGCAGAAGCAAACACTCTAAGCCAAGTCACCTAGCTCTCTCTTTCTCTTTGGTCCCTCACTCACATGTGCTCTGTCTCTCTCCTCCGGTTCTCCACTTTGTTGTCCAGTGCAACTCCTGCCCCATTTACACACAAAGACTGCCAATTTCCTTTTAAAAACAAAATTGGCGAGTCAGACCCAATCCAAGCCCAGGAATATTGAGAAATTACAGCCCAGCTCGGTCTGGACCCAGCGGGTTAGGTTGGACTAAATTGGCTCAGGCAGAGAATCAAAGCGCTACTCTGCATCCACTAGTTCATCTGCTCCTCTTTTGTGATTTGCACATAGAGATGTGATTCCAATGCAGATGGAACCTTGATATCGAGAACAGTTATTAATACCAGGTATAAATGCAAAGGCCTGGGGTGTCGGTAGCTTAGTGGATAGTGCCGGTGCCCCATGTATAGAGGTGATGCCTCGCTGCAGCGGTTGCGAATTCAACTCCGGCTTGCAACCCCTTGCTGCATGTCGTCTCCCCACCTCACACTCTTAACTCTGTCCTGTCCATTAAAGGCGGAAAAGCCCAAAAAAATAGTCTTTTAAAAAAATAAATAAATAAATGCAGAGGCCTGTTACAGTATCATTACCCACATAACTTTGCCAGACACAGATTGCATGTTAATAACAGAGTGTAAATGGAGTCCAAGATGCACATTTATTGGTCAAATAAAATAAAAATCTGCATAGCTAGATATACCACTAGATGTACTAGATGTAGTGAGAATAATGATTTGTTTTTGGATAAAGTGACACTTACTGTTCTGCCACAGCGGTTGTTGTGAAGGTTCATGAGCGCCCGTGCATCTCGGACAGTCCTCTCTTTGGCATCTATGAAGGCTTTGGCAAACTTTATCCCATAGTTGATATTATCACTACAACCACCCCAGTCAAACTCTCCTCTGTCATCGCTAGCTCGTCCACGCTTGTGCGGGTCGCAGTTGCATGTCTTCAACTCCCCCTGGCTGCAGGCGCGAGTGAGCGCATACACCACTCCTGCTGAGGAGATAGCGTAGACGAATGCAGCTTCACGACTGCCTGAGAAAGAGAGACAGAGAGGGAAAGCACAAAAGCAAGAGAGAAACAAGAGTTTAGACTTAGGTAGAGGTTAGAATAACACAATCTATTATTGTAGTTACACATATCATGCAACACAAGATTATCTAAGACCTAAAGACTTAAAACTGTGCAGCGCTCATATTGACATGCACAGATACGCATAATGTCATGACCAGGCCTAGGCATGAGCCATCAGGACATGAAGGTGCAGCTGACGGGGGCATATCAGGCCTGATGTGGAGTATAGGACAGCTCTGTTTAAATATTATCATGGAAATAATCCCAGCTGCGGGGCTCTCCTCTGCTCACATAAATTGTTTAAATACAGACACAGTGATACCCCATTAATCAGCGCCAGGGTGATGTCATGACAGCATTTTCTACCATTGCTGTGCTTTTCTGGTCTCTTTAGTTCCTTAGAATATGACTCATCTATTGTGTGGCCAAAGACACATAGAGAATTAGATATAGTGTTTAGTCACAGTTGCTTTTTGCAGCGCCCGTGGGAGTGAATGCTTTAAAAGACAACAGCCAGAGGGGGAAGAACTTGTCCATCTTTAGTCTCAGCCTAACAGACATATGTGGATTTCACTCGGTGCCTCTGCACTCAAAGTCGAAACAACACGAATGCTGTTTCAAATAGAAGAAAATGATGCACCTGGAATGAGATTCTAACGTCCCCAGTTAGTAAATGCATGTCCAGTAGGGGTGGGAATCTTTGGGAATCCTACAGGAAGCAGAGAGCTGCACTGTGTTGTTGTTAACGTTATATCTGCAGCCTCTGTGCTGCAGCATGAGTACAGAGCAAATCCATTGTTATCCAAAACACTGCACAGCCGCAGGTCTTTTGAAATGAAGCGGGCTGTGGATTGTGTTATTTTCTTCACCCGACCAGAATTGGCTGAGAGTTTTGTAAAGTGCCGCAGTGGGAGTTGGTCAGCTGGTCTTGTTTGTTGAGCGTATCACTCCACTAACATTAGCTAATCTCTGTGTGATGGGGCGCAAAGTATCTATTGTATTGTAAAGCTAATTATTAAGATATTAAAGGAATAATCTGCCAATTTTCAACCAGCTTTGTGTCATAACAATGTGGGTAGAATGTGTAGATGAACTATTGTAAACTTCCCTCCATCGTAACAGGGACCAGATCTCCCTGCTCATCTCTCAGCTCAAATTGGATTTTTGTCCGCTGATAGTGCAGATAGTACTTCTGCATTTCCTGCCTGCCACCACGGACAAAACGAGTATGGAAGCAGATTAAGAAATAGACCCATCCGTCTCTCTCAAACTCAGACCAGACTCCAATCAAACTGTGAGATTCTGTTACTGTGTTGCCAGCAGATGTTTTCAGAAACACATTTTAGCTTTTACTATAATTCAAACATTTGTCACCAGCCTGTTGCCATATTGTTTCCTGTGTTAATGTTTCATAAGCATAGAAGGTAACTGTATTCAATATGTGAATACGTTTTTCCCTCCATCCCTAATGTCCATGAGCCTTTTCAGTCAGTTGGTCGATTCGTCATTCAGTCCTTTCATCTATCACTTCTGTTCAGAGAAAGATATATAAACAGCTATCAGCCATATAATTTGTATGTGTGCCCTAAGAAAGCCTTTTTTTAAGTGGCACACAAGAAACATCAACATTTAATAAAAATCACGTTCATGCTCCCCAGATGATGAACTCTCTCTATTTTGGATCCCACTTGAGCTTTCCTTTAGCATCACCTTCAGGCTAAAATGCCAATCCTGCTGTCACAAACTGTCACAAACACAGTACATCATATTATGTAATCAGCAATTGTAATTTTCTAAGCATGTTCAGCTCCCAAGAGGATAAACCATTTTTAGACCCTGTCTACATAGGATGTGTTTCAGTCGTGTTCTTCATGCATCCATCTCATGCACATCTGATGTCCCCAAATTCTAGTCGACAGCTTTTCAGCATGTTGAATCTGTTGTTTGTGTTTTTGTTTGCTAGCTCATGGTAAATCTAATTTGTTCTTTCAACATCTGGTTGTACTGTTAATGTGCCAAGTGACTAACTAGCTTCTTGTATCCGTCCTGTAGGTCTTCCAGTTTCCCTTTTTTAATGACTTACACATACTACGACTGCCTGCTGGTACGTACGAGTTCTTTCCTCTCATGTAGGCATACAACATATGTGCTTGAGAACCTGTTCCAAATTGTCCGAACCATCGAAAATCATTTATTTCCGAGTTTTTCAGTTCCTTTTATCAAAACCAGCATGATTTTCTGACAGTTGCACATTGCAAAATAATGACATAAACTCATGCATCTATGCAAAGCATGCTACAAAATGGCATGCTACAAAATGGAGTCCAACGGCTTCATTTCAAGCAGACAGATGACAACTCTGCTGCTTGTAATGTCTGTAAAATGATCATAACAACTCAGGGTGGGCACACGAGCAATATGCTGACAGATTTTTCTTTGCAACATGGGTTGTCTGTCTGTTGTCTGAATTCGTGTGTAGAGTGTGTTTGACATTCTACGCCCAGCAGCACGTTCGTTACAGAAGGTAAATATGTTATAATAATATAAGCGCCATGCAGCTACACTGTATTCAGACTCAGAGATAATGAAACAGTTACATTGATGCTGAAAACCTGTGTAGTCCTACTCTTTTTTTCCAGACAGAAAATTGGACCGATAATAGCACCGTTATCATTTCCCATCCTTTGATATGAAGCGACACAGCAGTGGGCTTTTGTCGCCACTAGTTCTTGGATTGATGGGCGATAACAGCTTGTGTTTCACTTGTGCGTCACACACATAACTATGATGTGAAGAATCAATGTATTGGCCTCTGACCACTACCAAAATATGGGTTACCTCAAAGCAGCACTGTGACATAACCCATCCTGCGGAGCTTAAGTCGGCCGTAGACACTGACGGAGGCCGTGCTGCTGTCACCACGCAGCCTGTGTAAACAGGATGTTAGATTTTTAATCTTGTTTTATATCAGGCTGGCTCACAGGTGCGTATTAACAAAAGCTGCAGAGTACATTTGTGTCTGTGGTCTGTTGAACCGTCTCACAGTTCACACACATAATTGTTTTAGATTGATCACAAGCACAAGTTGGAAGAACTTTTTAAATGCTGTAGTAAACTATTCCATAATCTGCAGGAGAGGATAAATAACATTTCATTACATTGATGAATTTGGTTTTGAATATACAACACTGTCCTGCAAAGTGACACGTGAATACACGAGTGTAAATTAACATCATAAAACTGATGTATAACTGATTATAAATGACTAAGGGTGGGGCACTTTGCTATCTAACAACACCTATCTGAACCAGCCTGGGCTGGAGCAGTTGTGTGATCCAACCTGCGTTCTCTGTATTCACTGGAATGTCCCGTTCCATCTCTGGGGTGATGAGAAGGGGGCAGTGGGCGCTGTTCAGGGGGCGTATATGGGGGAGGATGGAGGAGGGCATTGTTGGTCATCATTCAAACCTGCGCTGTTTGTCTGACAGTGAGAATATCTCTCTAAATATTTACATCTACATTACTGTTTATTCCTGTCCACCACACACACACACACACACACACAGCCCGTATCTCCATATCTGCTTTTTTTTTTTTTCATGCATCGTCGCCCCCCACACATGCTTAGGATGGCTGGAAGAAGGACAGTAACGTGTCAGATGGAGTCTGTGAAGACATGCACTTTCTTTTGTGCAACCTGAATCCAACTTTATGTCAATGAGCTGTTGTAAATGAACTGTTTACCATCATGCCTTGCTCCAAAGCAACAAAATCAAGAGAAAGCTTAATCCGTCAACCCTTTTACTGGTTGCACTACATGCAACAGTGACAGCTCTATCACTGTCAGTGCTCTGCATCATGATCTTTTGCAAAATAATGTAATGGACAATTTTTAGAACAGTCCTCATTTTCTTTCATGCAAAATAACCAGCTGACTGAAGACACCGTGGCTACTAGGTCATCTTACTTAAGAGTCCCATGGACCGGCTGCAAGGATAGATGTTGTAACATGCGCCTGTGTGCATATGTGTATAGGCATGAATCTGTTACAAAGCAGAGAGGTCTGGCAGGAGTGGAAAAACAAAATGACGACAAGCCCGCGTCTCGAGGCCCGTGTGTTTATTGACGAGGCATAAGGCATTACAACAGTCCATTAGCGACTATAAACATGGAGCACCAGCATACGTGAGTACGAGATGGAGAGATCGGAGAAAGAACAGAGCAAGGGCAGCAGGACGGAGAGGAGAAGGAAGAGATAAGGGCGGTAAAAGTGAGGAGGAGGGAGGAGGAGTGAGATAGTAGCAGATGGGACTCAGGTTCAGTATCTATACTCTCTGGCCACACAGTCAGTGATCAGACAGGCAGACATGTGGACACACACAAGTGTGACTTACTCCGTAGCAAGACGCGTCCAAACACGGTGTGGTCGCGGTCCAGTGTGCTGCAGTTCCAGCGGTGGTGTCTGAACTGGTGCTGGCACTCTCTGATCCACTCTTTGGTGCCCTCGCCGATGGCCTGCATGATGTCCGGGTGGCGCTGGCAGAGTTGCCGCTGCTTGTTCACCAAGCCGGGGATGTTGTCGCAGATCACACGAGCCCCCAGCGCACCAATGTACCTGAAGATGGAAAAAACACAAACTTCTAGGCACTTTGCTCCACACTAGGTTTATCGAGAAGAATTCCTATGTGGAATATGTAGAACAGCAGTGACTGATGGGATATTACATTCAATTGGTACACATAGGTGCCCTCATATGGTAGATGTATACACATGTGGCTACACACACACTCGAAGGTGGTGAGTGGCATGAAGGAGAGCCGCAGCAACAGTCCTCTGTGAGTCAGAGTTCACTACATTTAACAGTTTAAGGTTTGCGAGCAGGAGGGGAGTGGAAACCATTTACTCCGCTCTCCAAATAAATAAGCACTTAACCTCTCCCCACAAGACCTGCGTGTGTATGTGTGTTTAAATGTTTCCCAATGGGCTAGTTGAAATCATGTCGTCACAAATCAGAGCACAAAGTCCGGGGCCTCCAATAACCCTGTCACACTAATACCACATTTACTCCTCTCTGTCTTCTGCCCGCTCGCTCTCATGCTCATCTTACTCACAGTCCTCCTGCATGCCTCTTCCAGTCTCTCTCCCTGCCCTAATAAAACAGACTTCTGCAGTATCCCGTCAAGATAAATGCGGCGGTGAACTCACACAAAATAAACTCTGAACCTAATCGTGTGTGTGCATGAGACTTCTTGCAGCCCGGTGGCTGCAGCGGGGCTTTGGCGGGTCAGCGAGGGGAGGTCAGGGAGCGTGTAGCTGTGTGGTCGTGTTTTTACAAGGCCGGGCGAGAGGATGGAGACTGAAGGCTCTCTGGTCCCCAGAGTGGGATTAGAGAGGAGGAATAAGAACAGAGTGCTCATCAAAGGAAAGAGCCAGAGCAGCAATTCACACTTAATTTTCCCGTTCTCCATGAGAGTCAGGAGGACCTGTGGATTTTATAGGATAGTAAATCATTATCCACAGGTCTAAAACAACATGCTGTAAAGAGCTGCGACTCTACTGTGAATCAGAGAGGAAAGACAAGTCGCACACAAATAAGGAAGGGTTCTTTTGACTTCTGATGACGCAGCTGATATTACACCAACCTCTTGTTGCCCTCTCCTTGAAATATGCTAAAAAATAATAAATAATAATAATAAATGGATAATATAAATTAAAAAATGCTATCCTACAACCGGCAACCACACACCGCAGTCCTAAATAATCATTACCAAATGTAATCATAATCATAAATAAACTTAACAAATTGCCATTATCATTAATACTAGTTCTGTTATTATGGTGTACTGCAGTTCTGCCTGTCATTTGTCCAACTGGTGTTGCCATACCCAGAAGGGTGGATTCAAGTTACGTGGCTTGGGCTCAAATCAGACTTGAGTCACAAATTGAATTACTTTAGACTCGACTTGACAAAATCAAAAAGCACTTGCAACATGACTCGGACATCAGCAACTATGACTCGAGCCTTTTCACTTTCGAAAATACCTGATACCTTTCCCCAAACAAAAAGGTTCAAAAGTGTCCTACAAATCAATTAATTTCCCTCGATTTTTTGAATCAACTAAGATAAACGTTATTCATTCCCAGCAAGTCAACGCTTAATTCCTCAGATCCACTTTGTTTGAACTAATCCGATGCATCCAGTCGAGTTGCAGGAGAGAACCATGAAGAACTAACATTGCGTTACCAAGCACCAATTTTGAAAAGAAATGATACCAAAGATAATTTTGTTCCTGCACAGAACATATGCAGTGGTTAACAGAAAAACAGGTCAAAAATGACAGACGGAGATGCAACTACTTCCAACAAACTTGTAACGAATGAGTTCAAATTTTGAAAAACATTCAAGATTTTTTAAAATTTTAATATTTTACTATTTTGTTTGCATTACTTTTTTTTTTTATGTCACACTCAAAACTTAACGATTAGCACTTGGGACTTGTCAGTCTTTACTCTGGACCTGAGTGCAGAGAATGGAGACTTGCTTGTCAGGGTGTATTCAACTTACCTTAATGTCGTCATCACATTATATTTGTCAGATAGCCCACATTAAGTCTGAGTGTCATTTGTGTTGCGCTGCATATGTATTATATCTAGACAGTATAGTAGCTTTCATGTGTTACATATTTTTAATAGTATACCTTTTAGCTGTACTGGCTTATGATATGTAATATAATTGAGTAGGACTTGTCAGTGTTTTTTTTGGGGTGGGGGTGGGGGTGGGGTGGATGGTGTAGGGGGCACCTGGCAGATTTGGTGCCCTGTCATATTCATCATCTGTCGTCATTTTCTGCAGTATTACAAGTACAAATCTATTACCTTCTTGGGATTTCTTGCTAAATGTTCTTGAGAAGCAGCAACTAAGCAAAGTCACTTCACTTCTCTGTTATGTCAGTTAGTCAAACTTGCAACTGCCTGGCACACACACACACACACACACACACTAATTGACCGTTACCTTTGACAAACACTTGGAAACTGTGGCTACTCTTCATATGTCACAACAAATCTAATTTCATGCTTACATAATAACTGCATCACATTATACATTGCCTTTTATTCCACCTTTCTCAAATGGCTGGAACATCCCACAATCATTTTCGTGACCCAAAGCCCCAGACCTGCCCCTATCATCACTGCCTGCACACCCGCAGAAATGTGATAAACGGTTAGATGCTGTATCTCCTGCACTAAATTCCCCTCAAAGCCAATAATGCCCAGCCAAAGCCTCCACACACAGTCTCTTACCACTACTCCCCATAACTGCTTTTAATCTACACAAACTATTAGGCATTCCATCACCCCCATACCCGCCCACACACAGACACTTCTCCTATAAACACACTCACACACATGGACATTTTCACGCATGTTATTGCGCAGGCAATGAGATATTTTTTCACCCCTCACCTATGCTCTAGATGGCTGGTTTTGGGGTATTTTAGTGAAGTCATTTGTGTGTGTGTGTGTGTGTGTGTGTGTGTGTGTGTGTGGTACCTGGTGAATTAATGACTGCTCTGCCTTGTTGAATGCAGGCCCCAGCTGAGCTGAACACGCGCTCAGCCAACAGCGCCAACATAAATTACATTTATCGCTCTATTATTATTGCTCAACGTGGCAGGCCAACAAACTGACACGAAGAGCAAATGCATCTTAGAAACAAAATCCTAAAGAAGCTCGAGTCTAGTTCACAAGCTCATCAATTAGTTTATTATCACCGTCAGTGCTCCTTACTATTTTTTTTTTCAGGAGCAAATCATTTTTTAATTAAATAAAGTGAAACACATTTATTATTTCTCTTTAGTAATGTCCTCATAGATATCACAAGTAAATGCACAAATATAAACCCTAATGCGTTTAGATTTTTTGCAGCAAAACGCACAAATAAAAACAATAATAAAGTTTAAAATGTTGCACCGACTATGAATTCACTGCACAGAGAGTCCGCGATAATAAATTAACAACCCCTCATAATGGCCTTGTCTGTCTGCTGCTGGAAAATCGCTGCTGTGAATTAATTATAAGGGGGTTTTGCTTTTGCATTTTGGAGGAGGGTTATTAAAATAGTCATCGTAAGTTAAATTCGTTGGCAGATTGAATCCCTGAAGTCTCTAACGAAAGACTCAAAGCTAGGCAGAAGTCCCAGCGCCGTTTCAAATGATTAAGATCAATGATTCATGTTCAAATCGTGTGCCATTTCCTTAACTCCCTTCTGCAGCTAGACAGCTGATTTAATTTAGTAAATAATAATAATAATAATTTACTTAATTGTGTCTTCCAGAAAGTAGAAATTCGGCCGCCATAAATCTCGTCAGGCAGGTAGGCCTGTAGGTGTGATGTGTGCGCACAGTACTCACCACCATGAGGAGTCCACCCGAGGCGTCACCAGCAGCAGCAGCAACACACACGCACAGTAAATCCTCGAGCTGGCACCGGGGTTTTGGCACGAAGAAGACCGGGGTGAGGGTTTGGCTCCCGGTGAACCACAACTCCCAACCCGGGCAGCCCGCAGGCTCAGAATCCTGTTCAAACCCAGCATGGCTCTGCGCTTTTTTTAACCACAAAAAAAGTTCCCCCCAAAAAAAATCTGATTTCAGAGGGAGGGAAAGCCCGGCTTAAACAGACAAGATGTGAAGTAGGCTATGCACCCATTCAGTAGGTAGGCCTCATTATCCAGTGTGTGGCTCCATATTAAATATAGCGCGGCTGTCAGGAGTGTGAGGAGCGCGTTTTCGGTGCCATGTGCCCACCAGACTCTCCACTGAGCACTTCTGGCTGCAGACAGGAGGTTTACCTGACGAGACGAGCAACAAGTGTCGGGTGCTTTACCTCTCCAGTCGGCTCCTTCTCCAAAACTCTTATCCTTGGTTTTGGTTTTAGTTCAGAGGCAGAAATAGGATCCGATTCACAGCTGGAGGTTTGCAGATGCGACACTCGCTGCTGTTTCTGTCGGCTGTGTGAGTTTGCGCTGGGTCGGATGCTCGCACCGGACCTCTCCTTTATCAGTGCGCTGCGGACAGAGGCAGAGCTGGGAGAGACAGGGGGAGAGAGAAAGAGATGAGGGAGGGCTCGCTGCTGACGGCTCCTCGCGCCCATTGGGCAGATGCAGGGGTTACAGAGTTTGACTAGGAAGGAGATATTAAAGAGGGATGGATGGAGAGAGGAGAGGTGCGTTCCTCTGTTCCAGTGTGTGTGTGTGTGTGTGTGTGCTTGTGTGTGTATTAGGGTGATGATGCTGTTGCAGTCCTATGTGAGGAGTTCATCTGTAACCACACACAGAAATCGTTATAATTGATGATGGCGCCTTCATTTTACAACCCTGTAAAATTGGGTAATTAAATCACAGGAAAAAAATGTGGTTCTTCATATTTTAAAGGGATTTTCTGACAAATTAAAAGTCGTTTTTATTCTTAATGTAAAATGCCACAAAATGCAATCACGTAGATGCAGAAATACAACCAGAGAGCAAATGCCCTACATGAACCACTATGTTGGAAATGCATTTGCAGCCTCAGATATAGTAGGTATTAGTTCACACAAATATCATTTTATAGCATCTATAGTTATTGTCAGTTATATAAAACAGAATAGAATAGAAAGCCTTTATTGTCATTGCACAGGAATACAACGAAATTAGTTGTGACACTCAAGTGATGCATTCCAACAAAGAACATAATACAAAAGACACAGGACGTTCAATACGCAGACAAAAATATAGAAAAAATGTACCAGACTAGAGAGCCGGGAGCAGCTGCACAAGTGCACGTCTGTAATTAGAATTAACACTATCATATTCAGTGGATATGTATATGATAGTACTTCTCCTCATACTGTTCCTCAAATACATAATTACTGTACAGCATAGATTTAATGCTGCTGGCAAAATCTGGCACACTTACATCATATTAATATCATGTAATAAGTGTTGTCCCTGATTAAGATTTAAATCTGTGACATTGTTTAAGTTATTATTATTATTAATAAATACTTATTTAAATGTTTGTTGTGCCTGCAGCCGCGCACCACCTAAAGAACAGCAGAAATGAATGTCAGAGAAAAAAGGAATGGGAAGGGAATGTGGGACTGGTAGAACAGAGCCAAATCGTCCAGTGGAACAGCACTATGGCTTAAATATGAACCACATGTGTAAGAGAAAGAGAGTGCTGAGACAGCGTTCAAATAAAGCACTCGCACACACACTCGCGCAGTGCATTGTCCCCGGAGAGCGACCATCCTTACCTTTTTTCCCATGCATGCGTACGCATCTTCAGGTCGTCCTCAGGCTTGGCAGTGACCTGTCACCGTCACTCATCATCAAATCTGATATATCTCTTTGTCCTTGAATGACTCCTGACAGATTAAAACCTACTTTGAAGTGTCCGAAGATCGTTCACAAACTCAAAGGCAACAGCTTGAGTTGTTCACAGACACCAGTTCACACCGGTCTTATCAGCGTCGACTTGAACTTCTCCGAGGGGGTTTGTGATATTGGATTAAGAATACCACAGTTGATTCAGCTGACCCAGTAATGCTAACCAACGAGTAAACAAATCGGGAAAATCCCTGTCGGAATTGAAACTATTAGAATTAGCTATAGCTGTCGCAAACTGCTGTTTCATCGAAAGCTTGAAAAAACAGCTCTAGTGTTTATGCCAAAGCTGCTGTTAAAGCTAAGCTCCTTTCAGAGACATTTGTATTTCTGCTTACAGCTCGGCAGGCAGGCTGCTGTCAGAATGGGACTCACACTTTAAAGCGTTTTCAGAGACCGGCACATGCACAACCGTGCAGACTACAGGTTTGTGAGAGGCCGCGAGGTGAGGCAAAGAAGCACAGCTCCGGTGAATATTTGTACACTGCAGCTTAGCTCACAATTTTCTGCTAAATCAAAAGGAATTAGGGAAGCACAAACACGGCTGAGTTATGCTGTCTCTCATGGGGCTGGAGCTGGAACAGACTTTCTCCCTCTCGCTCTCTCCCTCCATCTCTCTCCCAGCCTGTGAACTTGACCCCAGCTTTCTCCTCATAAACAATAACAGAGTCAAGCGCCTTCTTGTCAGTTGGAGGAAAAGTTTGCCCTGATGTACGAGGTCCAATCTGGCAACCATCTCCTCAGAGGAAAAGTACTGACGGGGGTTGCTATGTTTAAACGTTGCACTGGGGTGAAGGAGGGATAAAGGTGCGATTTACAGAGGCAGCGGTTTTGGACTAATCCAATTGATTTCTGTGCTGATACATTATAATCACTCTGGATTATTTCTCAAAGGAGAATTGCAAGGAGAAAGGGGAATGGGGCCGAATGGGCCAAGGGCAAGCCAGAGGCATGCACTGAAGGTGGAAGGGTTGGACTAATGGCCCAGTAATGTGTCCCCTGTGGGGATTATGCTGTGGGCTGTCACCAGTCAGGCAGTCCAGGGATGAGCTCAGCGTGTATTCCCATCCCCTGGCAGGCTGGAGCAGGGAGGATAGTCTGTCGTCAGACCTGGCAGAGTCCCCATACTGATGGGACACATAGGGGCAAACTCAACACTGGGCAGGTCTGAGGGAATACGAACAAGCGACAGGTGGAAGAAGGACGAAGACAAAAAGGTGATCAACTAAAGCAAGTTAGGGAAAGACAGGAGGTGTTACTGTATCCAACATCGTTTTTCTAAGGACTGAGGGTGTCGTATGCTTCACAGATTGTAAAGCCCCTTGAAGCTAATATGTGATATCTGATATAAGGTTATATAAATAAAGTTGACTGGACTAACGTCTTGTAGTAACAAGTGCTCCAGCTTAAACGACAAAATACCTCATTTGTCATTGCCTTACTCGTAAGCCGTAGAACATGATCTGTTACTCAGACTGGACTTCCTGGATCTTATGTCACATCTCTCCAGTACCTTAAGCTAAGTTCACACTACACAACGTTCACAGTCGTCAGATGGCTGTGCCAGTCTTAAAGTTGTGGTTTTCACACTGCATGACACACTCGACCTTTCACCAGGAGGAAGCCCTGATGAGTATGTGTGAGGCGCTGGTCGACCATCAACCCGGGGGTTCTGTGGGTTGGGCAGGTTCCGACAAGTGGGTCAAAAAGTGACAAGGCAGCAATCTGAGTAAGTTATTAATAACTAACAGAAACATTTTATGCAACAGTCCACCTTTCACCTTCTCTTCCCCCCCTCTCACTCTCCGTTTCAAACACACGCACGCTTTGGAAAGTGCCGCAGTGCTCAGTCCATGTCTGTCCTCAACCTATGTCTCGCACTCTCACACTCAACAACATGGTCCACAACAGGTCCAGATACTTAGCGTGGTAGATATCTAAGGTGCGTCTGCGATGCATCGGCTTGCATCTTTGAACAGTTCACACATAGTGCTTGAGTGCCAGTTTGCAAGCATAGAGTCACCATTGATTTGCCTTTGATCTGGGGCGCTTCTTTAGGGGAGCTCCAAAAATGGTCGGCAAGTGGAAAATCAGGGCTAAGCGTGTAGTGTGTACCAGGCATTTAACAACACACCTCACATGCAAAACAGGGTCTGGCTGTTGGTGGAGGACAGCGTCAGAAAAGTATAAAAGTTGGACACTTTGCATGCCCAGCTATCCATCTTGATCTCTTCCTTACGAAGCTTTGCAGTACTATAAAAACGTCACGCTACCTCAGTTTTACTTTTCAGGGTCAGCTGTCATTATTTGCATGGCCACAAAGAGATGGCTCGTGAGAACAACTTAAAGTCCAGATTTACCGGCGTTTTGAGAGTATGTAGCTTTAGTATCATAACATATTTGTGAGTAAAACAGGGCACTGCAGGTCAGATATATTGTTGGAAGGAATTTGGTTGGATTGTTGAAAAGTAGGCGTGTCATAATGGCCTTAACAGTGAGATGCAGACGAGATAGTAGTATCCGTCAGAGATAGAGTAATCTCTATAAACAGATATCTGCATGCAGAACCTGGAGGCGACAGGGCAAGATTTTGGTATCGGAAGTGTTCTGGTTTCCGTTTGTAGTCCAAGTAGTACTGACCAATTGCATTTGAAGGCAGGTAGTCTGTCAATCTCGGAACCCATCGTCAGACGACAAGTTAGCTTTGTCTTAGCTTTTTTAAAAATGTATCTGCATTCATATGCAGAGATTGATTAATAGAGAGTAGCCAAAAGGAAGCCAAGGAATTATTGGTCCAGATATCCATTAGGTACACCATATCAGCCCGAAATATTGGCCCTTGCCCTCAGAGGCTTATTGTCCTCAGAAAAGATGGTTGTTGGATTCTAATGTTGGGGATAAAGTGGTGAAGTTCGTCACATACTCCATGTAATGTTAGATGCTGAAGCAGTCCACTGTAAAACCTTGTGTATAATCTGAAACTGTCACAGATAAAGCTTTCCTTGGAGTGAATCAGTTCTAGCCAGAGGGTCTGTATCTACAATTTTTTTTGGAAAAAAAGACGCACAGATGTAAGATAATGTTTCCAGCTAGCTAACTTAATCTAACATGAAACAATTGATTGATGGGTTGATGTCATGATGTTGATGGTTGAAACTGGTTGGTACTAGTTTACGTAAGTGCACATATTTTGTTTTACAGGTAGAAACATGATTGGCTATTGATATCAGAATATGAAGTGGTTGATTTTTTTGGGGGGGGGGGGGGGGGGGGGGGGGGGGGGGGGGGGGGGGGATTACAGTATGTTGTTAAATAGGGGCACAATATGGCCAGGAGGTCAAACTTTAATGGTTAAAAAGGCGTTTTTCTTGTGATCCTGACTGAAAACACAGTGCTTAGCCGTATGACTAATGCTGGTTTTGTCTCACAAGGACAGTCTCCATTCTGAATATTTCATTTTAATGCTTGCAGGATGACTTATTGTAGATGGATTTAATACTATCATAATTTCAGTGTGTTAAGTAGCCGTGAGGATAAAAGGACCAGGCCTGAGTGGCTGTTTGGATAACAATCAGCTGAGAATCCAGAAGCATTATCTATAAAGCTAATGAAAGGTCAGAATAC